CAGCCTGCGAGGTATATTTTGGCAAAGAAGTATACCTTTGTCATCACCTGACTGGGCCTGACTGTTTTAAGAAACATGTCGGACGAGCGACACGATCTTACTTACAAAGGTAAGTACTACTAGTGTTTAAGGCGTTCTCGGCCATTAAAACTGACTAAATTGGTCAGCATTTGAGTAAAATAGAGCAAAAAGAGATTAACAACTCCTTTTACCCCCTATGGTTCTATCCTGCGTCTAAAGACTTGCTTGGAAGACCTGCAGCCGTTCCGGAATGCCCCTTTCTGAGATGTCACCGTACTGAACAGCGCCAAGCCGCGGGAGAGGACGCGCGCCGGGTGCGCTGCTGCTCGTCTCGCCGGGCCGCAGGGGCGCGGTGGGGCGCGGCAACGCGCGCGCGAGGTCGGATGTTGTACAGTTTTACTGTGACGCGCGCGTGCGGGGGCCGCGGGGGAGAGCGGCGCCGTGGCGGCGGGCACTAGGCTGGCAAAGGCGAATCGATATTAACGCACGCGCACGCATGGGGCCGCGGGAGCCAGGGCGCAGGAGCCAGGGCTCACCGCGCACACAAGGCCGCGCCGCGTCGGGATCGCGGGGTCAGGGCCTCTCTAAGGATTGCGTGGACGGGCATGTATGGACGTGTATGGACGAGGCAGGGCGCGACGCCGGGCGGGCGGTGGGGAGAAGGGCAGAGGGACTTGGTCGCAAGAGACTGCCGCGGGAGACATGCGCATCGCAGGGTTACCCGCACGCCCGACGCTGTTGCAGCGGCCGAGCGGGGACAAGATTAATTAATTAATAAGGTTTTTTTCCATTTGCCCACAAACTCGCTGGACGTAAAAGTATCATGTTAACGCCGAGTTTGAAAAATCCCACGAGTTTGGCGGGTTGACCTCCAGCAAGGTCAAGTCTGGTACAGTATACTGTTGTGCCGCCCGACGGATCACGTGCACCTGCGCGAATACTCGCTGAAGCGAGTATTGTAGCTCGCCACAAGGATAGCAAGGTTCTCAGTCGAAAGGGCCGATGTGTTTCGTCTTCTTCACAGCCTGAGGGAGGCCGTTTCAAGAGGACCGCTTTTTAGAAGCTTCTACTTGTCTATCTTTCGCGGTTGCTTCGGCGGCATCTGTGGCAGATCCTGTCGCGCTTTGATCCGTTTGATGGGCAGATGTGAAACTCGTGGAAAAACTCACATGCCCCGAGTTTTCGGGGAATGTTTTCGTGGAAAAAAGTTTTTCCACGAGTTTCAAACTTTCAAAATCTAACGAGTTTTCGGGGCATGTGAGTTTTTCCACGAGTTTCAAAGTTTCAAAATCTAATGGGAGATTTTGCGTTTAGCCCCTTGTTCGCTACAACTTTTCCGATTTCACCCGTCTGTTTGCCACCAAAATGCACCTGATCGCCCCCCTAAACGCAACATTACCTCTAATTAAAATTAGAGGGTTTACTCACCTGGATTTCGCAATCACATTTCAGAATCAGAATATCCGCAACGTGTAGGAGTTGTAATCTTCTAATTTCTGAAAAGCTTAATTGCAATGCGCGAAATCCAGGCGTCTATTAGAGCGTAAAACTCACACAGCGTGTTTCGGAGGTGCTGTGAGTTTTATAAAAGGCCTCGTTCGAAAATATTCCTGCCAGAAATATTGATCGAACTCGTTGTAAAAACACGTATTTTTACAACGAGTTCGAGAATCCCGACTATGCACACAACGTTATTAGATTTATTTACAGTATTGAGATAATGTTGCCCTATTACATTACAGCGTTTACGCACCTGCATTTCGCAAGAGTATTGTTTCGCAATGACGGGCCGTTTAGAGCCTTTAAGCAATGCATGTCGCGCGGTACAAGAGCGCCAATTTATCAAGCACTACAGTATGTCAATTAAATCCCCCGCCCGTGTCACGCGAAGCGCCTTGAGCGTGCCTCCGAGACGCGCAGCGAGGCAGCGGGGCAGCCGCCTCTGACGCGGGTGGAGCCCCCGCGGAATGCTCTTTCGCGACGCAGCGGGGGTGAGCCTCCGCCCTCGTTCGGCACGGCCCTGAGGGCCGTTCCGAACGAAGAGTTCGCAGTGCCAGCACCCGAGCACCCTGGCATATGGCATCACTGCATCGGTTGAATGGGAGGGAAGCATTTCCAATATTTTGTATACTCAGCAGGCCGCGTTTCCCGCTTCTTACCGGCGCCCGTTCCAACCCCTGCCCCGCGCGCTTGCGCCCCCCCCGCCGCGACGCGCCGCGCCAACGACTGCCGTCTGCGCGCCACGCCCGCGCGCGTGGAAGGGGGACGCGGCGCACCGTGCT